ACGGCGACACTTAGGACAAATTAATTTAAAAGAACGAAAATTGTCACCATCAAAGGCATTCAAATGATAATAATCCCATAATTTATATTCTTCTCTATTCTCATCACCTACCTGCTTGATAATGTATTGATATTGTAAGGAGAAATTCTGTCTTGGTCACTTGTGGGAGTGAAAGGTTTAAGCCTTTAGAAAGAGATACTGTGAGGCATCAGAGATCTGCAATGCAGAACTCTCTCTCAAAATTTCCTTAACCTCAACATCTTTGTAATCATACTTGTACAATATTCCCAAAAGTCAAGGAATTTCAAAACCATGTGACTGTGGTACTATTATAGTAGTGGGTGTTCTGGTATCAACCCATCGCTTCTCTGTTTCTTTCCATGTATCACCTTCTATCACTTAGTTGTTTCTTAACGCTGTATAATAGTCTGGATTGTATAGGTTCTCTTGATTCCTTAAATTTTTAGAAAAACTTAATGACTGCCTTTGGTTTAGTTATTGAGAATTGTGACTGGAAGTCAACCTCATGCAATTTCTAAGTATTCTTAGCCAGCTTAAACAAAGTGTTAGACACAGGATTCGTAGATCTGCTGGGGAGCACTTAGCACTTCTTCATTGACAGATGCTATTTTGGATTGTATAGGTTCTCTTGTTTCCTTAAAGTTGTTAGAAAAATCTGCATCTGGGCTTGTTTAATTCTTCAAGTTCTGTGAGAATACTCAAACTTATCAGGTTGAAGTTGTTATCTTGATCTAACACCAAATTCTCATAGCTTATTGACAAGAAATTGTATAGAAGCTTGAAGAAAGAATCAATAATCAGATCGTGGGATTTAAAGGGCCAAGTGGTCACCTCCATTAAGTAGTTGTGGTCTTCCTTGACTTAGGACCAACAGCCTGTTTGTATTGTCTTTCACTTGTATTGGACACTCACTTAAATTGTAACCACTCAAACAAATAGAAGAATAATCTCTCAAGTAAAATTTATTCCATGTATTTCTTGCCAATCAGTGTTAGTGCTTTGGGTTCAAAGGTCCTTGATGTATTGCAGATCATCTTTCTTCTCTGGACTGTTTGGATAAATATTATGCACAAACATCATGAAGGTCAACTATAAGAGCAGATATTTTATTGTTGAAAAGCTGTGGGCTTTGCCATATATAATTTTGAACAGACTAGTCAAGATTGGCTACATTTGTAATTTATGGTAATAGGACTGAGTGGAGTCCAATTCAGTCTGTAATCATATGAGTGATTAACAAAATCAGATGAAAGTCAAGCATGAGTCCAATTTGTTAATCACACATATTATTGCAGACAGAATTGGACAACATGAAGTCCTGCTACCAATGAATCAAAACTATGACAACATTTGTGAAAGAAACTAGACATCTGTCATAAGTTTTCATAAAAAAAAACAGTTAACTCAGTGAAATGTGAGACAACAGTGCATGCATATAATGCGTTCTGTCCACTTAAGTTGACATGAGGTGTTAACTGTCCCTTTAACTGTCCTATTACACTGTCCAATTACAAGCATGACCAGTACAATATCCTATTGGTGCTCAAATCAGGCTGGTGATAGCCAATCATGTTCAAGAATTTTGTTATAGTTTTGATTAGAGTCATTGTAAAGGCAGAGGTAGCATATAAGAGGAAGCCAATAAACAATGTTAATGTCTCTCAGTTGGGTGATCCAGCTAACTTTAGCACAAATTTTAAATTTGTTATGCCCTCGCAAGATGAAATATGCTGTCAGCACCTGTCTAACCTGTCTCATCTGCATTGAGAGTTTGGCTCTGGCCCCTGAACACAGAAAGCATTATAAGGTCCCAAATGCACCCAAGTGCTTATGTGGAAATTTTTTGCAGAAACTCAACCCAAATGTTGAAGCAAAACTCACATATTTGCTGAAATTTATGCAGAAAAGTGTTGTGGAACCTAATCAAAAGGAAGAACCATTGTTTATAATCAATCAGGTGAGCAAATAAAGCTATCAGAATAATGTCTCAATGAAAGAGGCCCCCCCCTCCATTACATGTGTGCCCTGTACTATCAAATGCTAAAAACTGTGATTGCCTGAAATATTTCACTCAGTTATAGAAAAAGAAAGATAATAAATTTTGAGGTCATCTTAAACAGTTCCAAAATTTTTTCTTGTAAACCCCCACATGTGACAAGGTAGTAGACAGGATTTTGTGGGATTGTTCTTAGAGCTCATTGCTAAGTAACCATTTGGAACTGGATTGAGGGAGCTAGAAGCCTTGCAACACAGTCATTGTTACAAAATGTAACCTGATCTGAAGTCCTGTCCATTTCCACACATGTACACGGGATCAGGGATATCCCAGTGATGAAATCACTAAACACCTTTTATTACCTGTAGGTTCACCATGCATGGTAGATTTGATTTTCGGTCCTGCTGTTACAAGTGGGTTGAGTTTGTTATAAGTTCTAATTTTAGCTTCTGGGGTTTCCTTCCTCCAGAAAGAAACAAGTGTGTGATATGTCAGTGAAACCTAACATAAGCTGACAGAGAACCGTATGGGGAATGTTCCTCCTCTAGATGTTATTTTCTCTCTCATAAGTATTATTTATAGTGTCAGTTTTTAACATTTTTTATCTGCCAGGAGAAGAATCATTAATTGTATGTTTTTTTTAAAAGGAGAATTCCTCGTCTGAGGATGAACTGGTTTTAAAAATGAAGGCAAAGTTACAGGGGGGTGTACCATTTGTCTGGGAATTCCACTGTTCAGAAGGAGGAAAACACATGGTAAGAAAATAGAGAAATGAAAAGGAAATTATAGATACCTGGTGTTGTTGTGTTTGAGGTCTGTGTTGGAATATACTATTTAGCTTCTTTTGCAAATGGATTTAAAGCCCCACTTAACCCTAATCTCACAAGATCCAATGACAGTGTAGCATCAAGCAACCCTTTCATGAAAACAAGCAGGGCAGTTGTGAAAGGTTTTGGACAGAAAATAGTTATAAAAACCATCTGCACCTTCACTTCTCACTTTGGTGGCTTCCTTGCCCTTATTTTTCACTGTGCATCCCCTGAGAAAAAACATACTATGCAGGTACTAGAAAACGAAGGTTAAACAATTGCCGTTATGGGCTACTCTGGGATATAACCTGTCTTTTTAACTGTGATTAAAATTTGTGCACATGTACTTATTACTCCCGAGAGTGATAGGATTGCATCAAAATATGTAGATTTATTATTTTGTACTGTAAAAAAAAAACCTGTTTAACCAGTTGGCTGTGTGCGCTATGCTTCTCTATCTGCTTTGCTTTTCCCGCCTTATGAGAAATAAACAGAAAGACTTAAGATAAAAATAAGCGGTTGGATAATAAATAACTTATTAGACATTTTGGTGTGAAGTATTGATGAGTATTTCTACTCATTGTTTGTATTTTGACTCACCTTACAGGCTTGTCAATCTGCGGCACAACTCATAAAAATATTCAGCAATAATATACACCAAAGTGTGTTATTTATGTTGTTTTAAGGTTGGATCACAGCTAGTGCAGCCAATGCTTGCCATGATTGCTGAGTTAAATAGACGGCAGGCTGAGCTCTGTAAGCTTCTGAGGAGGAAGGATCAGGAGATTATGGATTATAAGGACTCAGGAGCATGCTTGTCAAGAAGTAAGGGGTACAGTTGTAAAATAACACACTTTCTTCTGAACTGTTGATTTTTCTTTTGGAGTTAGAAGGCAACTGTGTGCATTAACGCTGTTATTCACTCCTTGTCACAGCTTTTCACTGAGAGTTTTTGACTGTGCAGAGAATTGATGTTTAGATCCTAGAGAGGGAAAGGGTCGGACCTCAAGCCTTGACAAATGCATGCATATTGTTTAATGCAGCTGACAAACATTGTCTGGAACAAGGCTATTTAAAATCCTACAGGTTACTTAACAATTATTTCATGAGTGCATGTTGGTTATGAGATGGTAAATAGTCGACACAGTGCATAGCCCCGAGTTGGCCTTAATCAATTTTGTCTCTGACAAGTGCAATTGGAATAATTGTTTTTATTATCAAATTCCATTGAATACTGGACATTTGGATGTTTGGAAATTTCTTCAGCCCTGCAGCAGTTGGTACAATGTATTTCTATGTAAGGTGACTCAGAATATGAGGTGATAACTAGCCCTGGAGTTGAGTGAACCAATCAGAAAACTAGAAATGCAATATTCACAAATGAAAATGTTTGCATCATTAAATTAATATGTGATATTCAGTCCAGTTTCAACTGTTCTCTCTTACAACTTTAGAAAGCCTTGCAACGTCGGAGTTTAATGAAGATACATTCAAAAGTAAAATGATTCTCTCACAGGTATGAATAGCTTGCATTACTGAAATTGATATTGCTCTTGACCTTAATTAATAACTTGCTAACTGAAGCAGACACAGTTGTTATTTTCCTATGTGGGTTGCATGTGTCATGTGAAACAATTTTAGTCCAAGAAAGTGTATGAACTTCTTATCAACTGAGGACATGGGCCATACTGGGAAATATTGGCCTTAGAATATGACAGTATGGAACAAGGGCCAATATTCCCCAGTATGGCTTGAGCAAACAAGGTTAGTAAGCAGTTTATTATACAGCACTTGGACCAAACTTGTTCATTTTGAATATTCTGGGATTTGAAAACAAAAATACACACCTAATGACTGTTTCCATGGGAATGGTCAAAATCTTGCTTAATCCTGACCTTGTAAGTATAATCAGAATGCTTGGATTTACCTCAAGGCTGCGTTGTTGTGTAAAAAAAAAGTAATTATTAATAGTTAAGCATTTTTTGGTCACATTTCCTTTGTTGTTAGTTGTTAAGATTTGTTTACCTTAATCACACTGCCGCATAACATTCCTTATTTCTCTTATTTTCCGCTTGTTTTATTTTTGACAGAAATCCAAGATAGCCATCCTTTTGTGACTAAATCAACATAGTCTCTGACATCATGATTTTAGAGCTATTTTATTATAAGGCACCACGAAAATGCATAATTCAGTCAGAGACATTTTTTTCCTAGGAAAAAAGGAGATCTTTTTGATGGTCTTCATAACAGCCATCTGATTTCAAACTTAACCCTGTAACTCACAAGATCTGATTGTTCATTCTTCCCTCTAGCTGCTTCACATTTCCTTGTAAATTAGTTACAAGAATTTGGTGTTGGAGAAAGAAAAAAACTTCTACATGATGAATATGAGTATTCTTACTACCTAGTGTGTGGGGGATAATGTGTAGATATTCTAGGGAGAATTTACATGTTAATTACTTTTGGAGTTAAAGAGTCAACTGTCAGCTTCATGTGTATTTTTTCATTTTGTTTTCATGGCCTGGTTTATTAGGGTTTTGAGGATGCTGTACAAGATGCAGTTATACAAGGACTTGATGATGACTCATCTGAACTGTATAAACAGGTTATGATAAAAACAGCATGGCTAGCAGAAAAAGATCTACCAGGTGACAAATTATCTTATAACATAGCTAGTAAATTTGTCTAATCAAATTCAATTGTGTGAGTGTGCTTCACATTCCTATTGTGCATGTTCATGACATCAGCAAACAAATCCCTTGAGAAAAAAATTTTTCCGTCAGGTTGAAAATGTTATAAAACAATTGGTTCATATGTCAGCTGTGCATTCATCAAGATATGAAGCACTACGGAAGTTTGGAGAGCACTCAAGAAGCTAGAGTTGCTCTCAGCTACGCCTCAAGCAACTCTGACACATCATTCGTGCTCTCCAAACTTCATGCATGCTTCATATCTTGATGAACGCATGCTGACATATGAACCAATTGTTAATTACAGTTACTGCTGTTGGCTACATCATCATGACAGTGTTCTTTTTACCCTTTACACCCTAACATCAATATGCATATTCTCCACACATTTCCTAGGGTGGTAACAATGAGAACTTTTTTTACAGTCAAGAGCTTCTATAGCTTGTCATCATTTCCTTTTGTCTCATGACGTTAGTATACCATTCAGGGGTGATATTGTAAGGAGAAATTAGATGCTGGTCACCCTTATGGGTCAAATTAAAAGTTGGTCTTCAAGGAATACACTACTTGATACAATACATTCCTACAAAATCAACTCTGATGCAAGTTGTTTAACCAGAAAATGTTTTACCTTTCCATCACAGCACTGAATTTTCCCCATCCCTGTCCCCTCAGTTTTAGGTCTTTTCTGGGTAATTGTGGCTAATCTTGGGACTATTTGATCAGTGGTGAAATTCAAATAAATGGAGTCTATCAGGTTTTAAAATTTTGGGATAAAGTTTACATAAATTTAGCACTTTTTAGGTCCTCTCTCATTTCTCAGCTTCTGATTGCAGGTTTACCTTGGCAAAACTTACAAAAAAAATTCTGAAGCAGTGCTAGTGGGCTTTAAACTGGATACAGTGGTACTAATAAATGTTTCCACTTGTTGCCTTTCTCCATTTACTGTAACAGAGCCAGATGAAGATGTTGAAGAGGCAGATGATATCTACGGATCAGTGGTTATAGGGGGTCCTAGTGCCCCCTCATGGACTGATATACCCCCTCCTTCCCTCTTTGGAAAGGAAGATGAACCTTTAACCACATCCCCCAGGGTATCTCCCAGGAAAACACCCGTCACATCACCAGCAAAGTCGTCTGGGATGTCATTGCCCTCAGATTCGCCTTCTAAGGTAAAAATATGAACAGAATATCATAAGGTTTGTTTGTGAATTAAGCTGGTTGAATTGACGGACAAAGTTTCTTTTAGTTGTCAAAGCATGAAGCAGTTTGACCATTTAACCGTTCCCCTTGAGTGGGATTGTGGGTTCCTAACAAGGAGCTTACTTGTTGGATAAGCTCCAAGTCATGGGTCAGCGGAAGTGTTAGACTTACTGTTATTAACAAACCTGTATGAAATTACACTCCGTTTAATTTTTCTTGAGAAATGGTGTAACACTTTTTAAATTTTCTTCTCCTATTTTATGCTGAGGAGCCCCCCCCCCCCCCCCCCCCCCCCCCCCCCCCCCCCCGTGAGGGACAACGAGGCTGAGTGATGTCAGAAATTGTACCAATTTTTCTAGTTTTATATTTCTTTTCAGGATATGGAACTAGAAAGACGTGAAGCGCTGCAAAAGAGACTAGCCGAGGAAGCCGAACGAAAGAAAAAGAAAAAACGCAAAGTTAAGTTATGACAGGCGCGCACAAGTCAATATTTTCAAAACTGGACTGCAAGGATCTAGAACTTTAGAGCTTGGTTGATCCTTACGCGCGAGAAGATGCAAGCTCTTTTAGGGGCTTTATTTCACGTTTAAAAGACTTCTTTGGGAAACAACAGTTTAGAAATATTTCAGGGAAGCTAACGACAAGTAAAGCATAGGTCAAAAAGGGCGTGGGCACGAACTTGATGGACAGTGTCCGACACCATCGTTTAACCCGTATCACCGCCCCCTCTGCCTTCAAGATATACCCTTGAGCAACACGCCCTGTGCAGAAGTAGTACTTTAGAAATAAAGAGCTACTGTAACTAGATAGAGAAATCTTCAAATGAGTGTCGAAAATATTATAGGACTGCTTTCGTTTTGCTTTGCTAATCTTTGTAATTTTTTTTAAAGGGAAAAGAAACTCACCCTTCCCCCTCGACCAATCAAATGTAAAACTAAAACCTGAGAGACTCAGTCACTCAGGTTTTTGCAAGCTTTTTCGCCTTGAGCTCCCTTGGGCTTTTTGTAATATTATCTTTGTTCTGATTGGTTACTGTGATTACTATGGTTTGGGTATTACGACACTCCCTAGAAAAGCGGTTTACGTACCTAATCAAAAAACAACTACCTATTGGGGAAGAATAACCCCTTTTTTCTCGTTTTTGGTTCAGTGAAAAAGTGCTACTGGTCACAGCAGTGTTTATCTTAAGGGGGTAATTTTCTAAAGAAACTGTGGTGCTGCGTCGGTGGGAGAATGTAACAGGATAATTTAATATTATCAACTGAGTTGATAACGTATAATGGCCACCGTAAAGAGTTTAAAAGCTGACATTTCGAGCGTTAGCCCTTCGTCAGAGCGATTTGAGGAATTTTGGGTTGTTTTTGTGTATTTATGTAGAAAAAGGAGCTACGCTAAGATGATCCTTTCACTGCCAGGAGTGAGTGACCAAAAAGGAATTTCTTCTTAACAATATTAATACAGAAAATTATAGATGAACGGATATTGTTTGATTCATCACCAATTATCACAGCTTATAGTGCAAGAAATGTTTGGCAATCAGGGCTGAAAATTGAAATTAAATTTTGAGTGTCATTTTCAGCCTAGTTGAAAATGGTCCTTCAAGAGAATGGAATCTTGAAAAAGTCCTTTGTTGGCGTGGACGAAATTTTAAGTAACAGAACGAAGATAGTTGGAACGGTGAAGTTCAACGCAGATGATTCTCAGAAGTTACATACCACGATTTTGCGTCTGGTGAACGAGCAGTGCACGGAGGAAAATACTGTGCGCGATAAACCGGAGATGAAAATCTTGGGCCCTAACCTTCAAAACAAGCACGTCTTGATCAATTTTCAGTTGAGAAGACAATTAAACCGGGAAAGTACTGGTTTTGCTTCACTATGCTCGAGGGTTGTTCAACAAATGCAAACCATTCCGGAGCCAACACGTCCATACTAAACCAGTCACGTTTTCGGGGTAGTGGGGAGGGGGTTACTGAAGTTTCCCACGTTTGTAGCTGTCCGCGTATATTTATTGTTAGCTCTCATTGGGTTGTGATGGTACAATTTGTCACTGTGATCCCCTTTGTTTCGCATCTCTCCATCCAGGTGCCTTTCTCATTAAAAACGCAATTCATTTCACGACTTTTTCCTTTCTGCCGTTTTCCTTGTGAATTATTTGTATCTGCAAAAGCTGCCGTGCTTTAAGTGTAACCAGCTCATTGCAGGTCACTAGTTATACTTTACCCCTCCCCCCCTCCTCCCTCTTTTCCCTAGCAAATCAATTACTTTACGACAACACTAAAATTAGGGATGTTTCAGGAAATGTGATGATGAATCGGATGATCGGTGAAAAGCGATCTTTTGTGCTGAGATAACTGCTCAAGGCAAAGATATTTTAAATTGATTTCATTTTACTCGGCGATTGATGTTTTGTCAATCGAGAGGAGAGTACGAATCCAGTGAGGGATATCTCTGTAGAAAGAACACATATCCAAACTGAGTAACCACAAAGAATAATCAGTATTCCCAGCTGCAAAATGCGAAGAATGTAGAATTTGTGCGTCTAGAAGCTCCCTACAGCTATTTATCACTTATTTTCCAAAACAAACTAGCCGTGGGTGGAAAACTAAAAAATCCGGAAGGAAAGAAAGAAAAAATTGTACATTATTGTCAATCGTGGCGTCAAGGCAAGGGCTTGCTTTGGCTCGCTTGACTCCTCTTCTTGTTAATTGCGATTGAAAAGTCCTCATAAATTGACAAAATTTGCATGAAATCTAAATTTTTAAAACCTAAATTGCTGTTCCCCAGTTTGTGTCATGTGAACACAATACAACACGACAGGACGACTAAGGCAGGTGTACCATGAAACGTCATTTTCTGTCGTCTCTTTGTCTGCGTTTTTAAGAAAGTTGACAGTTTGAAGTCTACCAACGGAAGAACAATCCATTTATTCAACTTTCTTTTGGTTATCCATTATTTTAGGGACAAAAATCGTCGCAGAATGTCATTCAAGCCTTGATTTAGTGGCATGTTGTCACACGCACTTGTAATAAAGCTTCCGTCAAAATTTAGCTTCAACTGTTTCTTTGAACGTCTGCCTAGAAAGAAGATCTGGTTGCCTAACTTGGCGAGGAAAGTGGATTTGAATTGCCCCGAGAAAGGTGCCTTTGCTCCGCTTGGCAGGTAAATGTTAGAGAAATTTATAGAATATATATCTTATGTAATCCGTTTAGTTTTAAGCTTAATTAATAAGGATTAAGACGAAGTGGGAAACTCGTCTTTAAAATGATTGTTTTCTTTCTCAGTCGCATTTTCACCGTTTTGCTTTTCATCTGAGAGATTCAAAATTGTGCATAAAAGAATCCAATAGACTTCCACGCCTTTATCAATTCATTGTCTAGTTGTTCCAAAAATGCGTCGATTCAGGTGAAATAAGGGTGTCTTACATTTTGCACCATAATTATTCAAAATAGTCCTCGACTACCGATTTTAAATGGCTCTCTGAGTGTGGCGAAATCCTCTCGTAAAGCTAGCTTTGACTTTTCGCTGTAGACAAAGCGACAACGAAACAATATAACCAATTTCAAATATTCGGATCTAGCCCGAATCAAATTTACTGTTACTGCTTTGAAAACTGAATTATGATAGAAAGTCACGTCGCTCTTGAGAATTATCGAACCAAGAGGATGGTATGGTTTTTTCCAGCAAGAAGACCGTTTAAAAGTGACATCAATCCAAAAGAAACACAACGACTTTATTCTATGGAAAAGTGTTTAATTAATGTATAAATAATATGCATAATAGCTAGACATATGTATTTAAACAAGCTGGTGTTATCATTAAAACTAGACAAGAACCAAAATGCGCAACAATGGTTTTCGCATATTTTGCATTATAAGTGTTGGTTTTGTTTTCATTTTCATTTTTTATGTTTGAGTATTATGAAAAAGAATGTCCTAATTGTAATCATGGTAATTCTAAATATTTTGGTTTTTTGTTTATCAGATAGAGTACATTTATTCGTTCTACATCTGTGTATTATTTTCTTTTTCCCGGAATATTCACATGAAAAAGAACAGATTGTCAGCTCGGAGCTGAAAGTCCCAGTGACGCATGCTCAGGCTTCTGGTCGTAAATAGATGTGCTTGTTTGAACGCCATGTTTGTGGCGTAACTAAAACCATTGTCTTGATAAGATTTGTAGATTGCACAATGATCACAAGCTCAACTCTTAATGCCTTTCTTTTGTCAAAATAGATCACTGACCATTTTTTCTTAGGTTTATGACCCTAATCGTTATATGTGCGTTCTATGAGAGATTGCCAAAAATTACAGGGGTTAGCAGCCACCTGTACAGATTTTGGTTGATTAGTAAGCAATTTTGAGACGTTGTCCATTTTCCCTTTAATAAAAAGAATCCATTGTAATACCATTTGAAGGATCCGCTGATACAGGTTGAAGTCCAGCGAAAAAGATTGATTCAAATGGCCGTTCCCACTTAGAATTATCCATCGAATATAGGTTCGTTTTACAATATAAAAGACTTCGAGGGATTTAATCTCTCGGTCCAGGAGCCCATTACTTATATGTAATACATAAGTAATGGGCTCCTACTCAGTCTCAATTAATTCGATTCACTGAAGAGATCCACTTTTCAGGGTAAAAGATTCTGGTTTTCAGTTAATGACACATGTATACTCGGATTGAACTAAAAAAAACCTCGAGTGCTTCCAGCTGTACAAAAGTCAAAGTTTCGAGGGGTGTGGGAATTATGGAAAATTCACCAAGAATCACATAATGAGATTCGTGATCTTTCCTCTGAATCGTCACCCAGATAAATAAATACCACACAACAACATGCATTCCTCTGCTTGAAAACCTACAACATTAACACAGAATCTGATAAAGGCTTTCAAGTACGTGTATATTTCCATGATGAACGCAAACTAGCTGAACTAGCCTTGCTTTTTAGTTTTTGTTCAGGAGTAAGGAAAGGAAGGAGCCAATTGGAGAGGAAAGGGCTTGTTGGAGAGGGGGTCTTACCAAGAACTGGAAGTTTTTGGCCAGCGTGTTGGGAAAGGGAGCTTAAAAAATGAAGAGAATGTAACATAAAGGGAAGCTTAAAAGGGCGTTTACAGTATTATTGTAGTATGTGGACCGGTAATTGGCAGGTCACAGTTTCGATTCGGAACTGAAACAGGACATCACAGAAAACCGGCTTTTCGATTGTAACTGAACAACTGTTTCCATGTCAACTTAATGATCATAACGAGGAAAACGTGACCAAACTCTATCTTTAAGGTAAGACTTCCAAAAGGAATAAGAAGTAATCAACCTGCCTTTTTTATAGTTTTTTTTTTTTGCAGGAATGGTTTAAAGTAATGTAATATTTCCATTCCTTTCCCCGACACGAATATAAGGAAACCCTTATGATATTTCAGATTAAATATAGTTGTATTTTTATCGTTTAACAAAAACTTTGCAGAGCGACGAGATTTTTCTTCTCTGGGGAGTTTACTAAAGAGCCTCGACTCAGTGAACGAACCTCATGTCGAAAACGAGGGCTGTTTTGAGTCCTCACTTTCTTTACTCGGATTAGCTGTACTCCCTACTTGGTAGGAAGCGATAGTCACGGAGGTTTTAGGAGCAATGTTGAGTATTTCATGTTAACCCTTTAGCTCCCAAGATAATGGTGTTAATTCTCTCCTCTAGTTACTACACATTTCCTTGTAAATTAGTTACAAGAATTTGGTGTTAGATCAAGATAACAACTTCTACCTGATAGGTTTGAGTATTCTCATAAGCTGTTTGCTGGATAATGGGAGGATATTATATAGAGAAGTTTCATGTTAATCAATTCTGGGAATTAAAGGGTCAAGTGCAATTTCAGGGGGGTCCTGTAGAAGGTCAGTGAATTTAACTCACTGCAAATTTTCCTCCTTTTTTTTACCCTTTAACTCCCGAGATCTCATTTGTAATTCTCCTTACTGTCAACCATATTGTTCTTGTGATGTTAGTTTGGAGAATTTGGTATTGGATCAACTTATAATCCCCTAACTGATCATGTTTTTCTTCATTCTCATCACTTGTCTGCATGATATTGTATTGATATTGTAGGGAGAAATTCTGTCTTGGTCACTTATGGGAGTTAAAGGATTAAGGGAATTGGTCTTCCTAAAATCCATCAACGATATGGAGAGTGGATTTGCGTCTAGGCTATGCTCAATACCTCAAATAAATGGTTAAATGAAGTAGCCACCTTACCAGCTTGAGTACTAATTAAAAACCAACCAGAAACATCTTTCGCTGTGTTATTTGCGGATATTTTCGGTGTATCATACTGTGACGTGGAATGTGGAATGTAAGGTGTATGTATTTTTATGTATTGTTAGGTATTTTTAAAGCCCTTCCTTTCATAAAATAACCTTTGAGGGGTTTGCCATCGACATTCACATTCTGTTTGCTCGTTTCGCAACAATAACAGTGTCTCTAGAGACAAGTTAAGTCTAGTGGTATCGTCAGACACACGTACGTCTTATCCAACAGCTTGCTCGGATGAACAAGGAATCACCCATTAAGACCACTATGATTTGTCTTATGTCCTTTTTTTTTTCATGCTGAATTGAGTGAGAGTCTTTCACGCTCTTGTGGTTGAAATAACCCCATGATAACTCATTATTGGTATACGATCCACCTTCAGTACAGGAAGCGAATTGTTTGATGTGACACATTACACATCCCCCATAATTAATGAAATAATTTGTGCTCCGCGGGACACTTCGAAGAGAGTAGGCTTCAAGTTAAAGAAACTTCATTGTCCTTGCGAAATTCCCCTCAATTTTGTCCATAAAACAATTTTTTCAAAGAGTGAAAAGAGCTTTTATGGTTAGATATCTCATTACATGCACATATTTTTCGCTTCATCGTGCAGCTGGCTGAAACTTGACAGCTCAAAATGTGTAGATCACTTCACGTGGTGAAGCAAAATCGACAAAAATTTTTTCGTGTTGGGCCGGTTTTCTGTGATGTCCTGTTTCAAGCTGAACACAGTTTCCTCTTTCCTCCATTTATTTATTCGAAGTCCCACCAGAGAAAATTTTCAGTTTAGAAATCGTCCTGTGCATCATAGAATCAACGTGC